AGGACTTTGGTGGCTAAAATAGGATTAAGCAAATATGTTAGCATCTGACCTACAAAGAGATAAAGCTCATACGCGAAAGTCCTAATATCATTACATAAAGCCGAAACATACTTGAGTAAACCATTAACGGCTTAATCCAAACGAAATTACGAGAAGAATCTGGAGTCCGAGCTATGAGAAGATGCTTTTCAGAAGACTAGACTTTCCTCTCCTGCTATACTTTTCACTGAAGTCTGAAGGACTGGTCACACACCTATACATTTCTGCAGTCATTAAAACCGGGAAATGCGGTTGAGAAAAATGTTAGGATTCAATTCTAAGTCAGGTGTGGTGGCACATGGCTGTAATCCCAGCACTTGGGAGGTGAAAGGAGGATGATCAAGGGTTCAAAGTCAACATGAGCTACAGAAGACCATCCCATGAAATCAAATCCAAATCCAAACAAAGAGCAATTTGGCCTATAGAGTCTGGCGGGGGTTGGGGGGATAGGGGGTCTAAACACCATTGATACTGTATGAAAATCACAAAAATTCAATTAAAAAAGTAGTTCCAAGGGCTGGATGGCAGCTCAGTGGCAGAACACTTAGCATTCGAGAGGTCCTGAATATGATGTGTGGCCCAAAACAAGCAAGCAAACAAAAATGGAAAGACAGAAATACATTTCTTAAGTGCAAAAGAAAAACCAACAGGGGCTGGAGAGATGGCTCAGAGGTTTAGAGCACTGGCTGCTCCTGCAGAGGACCAGGGTTTAAGTCTCAGTATCCACATGGCTGCTAACAACCACCTGTAACTCCAGTTCCAGGGGATCTGATGCCTCCAGGGACATTGCATGACATGGGCCCACTTACGCACACTCAGGCAATACATTCATACACATAAAATATAATTAATAATTTTTTTTTTTTAAAAAAGAAAAGCTGAGAGGGGTGGAGGGAAGGGGCAGGAGGGGGTAGAAAAAAATAGAAAAGCCAACAAAGAAGCATATGCTGGGGAGTGGTGATGCAAGCCTTTAACCTTAGCATTTGAAGACTAAGGCAGGCAGATCTCTGTGAGTTCTAGGCCAACCAGGGTGATACAGTTCGACATGAAACAATAGGACTTTTCACACCAAGATAATTGGTCTGGTCTTTATTTACCTGCTGTCTTTAAGCATTTTCTACAGAATACCCCTTCAACTTGATTACTGTTTCTACTTTCTGTCATGGACAAGATCCAGTATTCATAAAGAATCTAAACTTTGTGCACACACATTAATCTTAAATTATTTCAAATATGACCCTTGGAAGCTGTGGTGAATGTCAAATTTAGCACCTCTAGGAAATGCTTGTCTAAATTCAGAACATGTGTAAACAATCAGGACTCAATGAAACAGAAAACCTGACAAGATCTGCATGGAAAAAAAAAAAAGCTTAGGAGAGTCTTAAACAGCATTAATCCAGGCTGCCTCCGAGTAGCGAGAGCTGCCGCTGAGAGCAGGATTGATTGCAAAAGTTGCCAAAAGGTTAGGCTTGGGGAAGTATTTTAGTTTTCTTTGAAAAGTTTTTCAGCCTTTAGCTGAATTAGATATTCCAATTCAGCTCCAGGCCAAACAACAAAACAAAAAATGCTGCTGTTAACAGATGTAGAGAGGTCAGTTTTTAACAAAGTATATGACCTCCATGCACTGAGTCATGACTTCAAATGACAGACTTTGTTTCCATTATCTCAAAACTTTTTGACGTATGGAAAAACGCAATGCACACACTGGAAGCATACTGAACAGCAAGGTAACACTAAGGTGAGTGCGGTGGAGTACCTACACAGCACTTAGGAGATGGTGGCAGGATTAGGAGTGGCAAAACTAACAAGGAGAAAGATGAGAAATGATACTCAAGTTTATTTTCAAAGTTGATAGTTTTTTTTTCCCACTTCTCAAAGGAGTGGTTTTTTAAATACTAATTCCACAAGCAATCCCAAGGACTTCCCAAGTTTCATGGTTTCTTATTTCTAATACCATAAACTCATACACAAGGAGTGAGGGGAGAGGACAAAGGCCATAAGCCTTCGGGAAAGTTCTTTCTACTCATGTAAACTACTTTCCTTTTAGGACTCTGTGCTACAATCCAAAGTTAAGGCCCAGAATGAGAGCATCCAAGAACAGATATCCATTTCAACCAGCCCTGGGTCCAGAACATTTTAGGCATCCATGTGTCTGCTTGGCAAAGGATAGGGGAGGGCAGGGTGCAGTAGACAGAGACAAACAGTGCTGAGGTGTCAGGTGGAAGGCTGTCCTTCATTTTGAGAGTCTGGACTTTTGAGTGGCAGGGTGAAAGATATCAGACTCATAGAAACACAGAATTAACCGTGGGAGATTGTGGAAATGAACCTCCATTCATCGGCTTCCCTCATCTTTAAAGATAATATCTGGCTTGGTTTATCTCAGAGTGCAGGGATCAAGTGAAAACCTGCAGAATTCCAGCTGCTCATCCCCAAGGTTATCATTAAGAACCTGCTTTGGTTAGCAACAACACAAGGTTTCAGTTTTAGGAGATTCTGTGTGGAAGTGTTCCAAACAGCACTTGGTAGAAAAAGTGCCACTCCACAACACCACAAGACTTTTAAGCAACTTTGAGTGTGGGAGTAGAGGGGCGTGCAATTTGGCTGGAACTGGATTTTCTTTTAAAGCCCTGGAAAAGCAAGAACCAGAAGATTCTCGAGGTTAGGAACACTGAATTCCTTCATGTTAACCCTTCAACTCTTTTGCTAAATGGGGAGGTGGCTCAGCAAGGAGGAGCCCACAGCCCCACCCAGAACACTTAACAAATATTTCTGAAGCATCCTACACCATCTGTTAACTTTCCTGTTTCAAGGAGAGGATAGGCGTTCACGCCCTTCAGGGAGCTTGCTCACCACCCACCTGCTCTATCTACTTTGAAGGCCTACGGAAGGCCTCACACAGGGACTGGGTGTTCCTTCAGGAAGATGAGAGCACCGAAATATGCGAAAAAACCAACAGCCACCCCCAGAAAGCCTCTCTCAATTTTCTGCCCCCCAAATCTGAACTTCTCATCTTCCTGTTTCCCTTCCTAAGTTACGAGTCCCAAGGTAACCATGTTTTGGACACACGTCATACTCCACTTCCGAAGAAGTTTTCTCAGCTGCTACACCACGTGCGTTCCCACAGTGCAGGAAGAGGAAAATGTGTAGCAATTGGTGGAGGCTGAAAGGCTCTTTGCATCCCTGGGCACCGACAGGGGGAGGAGGACACCAGACCCAAGACCCAAGTTTCCCGGAGCATTGCAACATCCCAGCGCCGGCATGTGGCCGACAGAAGCATGGCGTCTTTCCCAAGCCCATGAGGACAAGGCGACAGGGACAGCAGGCACCTGACCCTACCAGGCAAAGGGGAAAAAAAAAAAAAAAAGTCTTCCTAACTCACCCTCCCAGTCTCTTCCGGAGTTTTAATCCTCCCTCAAGGAAAAGCTCTCCTTTCCCAGATCCCAAGTAAAGCCTACACCGTCCCGGACCCACGTGTGCGTGCCTCCCCTCTAGTGATCCACGTCCATCCCCACCCCAGGACCCTTCTCCCACGCCACCTCTCCTTCCCTCCACCTGCGGACCACGCGCGGGGGCCTGCCGGGGAGGCACAAGTTCAGATCCCCAACTTGGCTGTGCAGGGCGCGGCGCGCTCGGCTGGCACCGTTTGCAGGCTGCGCGGGCTCCAGGGGACCCTGGACCCAGGCCCGGGGATGAGGATGCGGATGCTGCGGACCGGGGACTCACCGAGAACTTTCTTCTCCGCGTCCTCGCCACCGGCCGGGGCTGAGGAGGCCGGGGCTGCCGAGGCTGGGGCGGCGGGGGCCGCATCCCCGCCCGGG